GAGTACGACTAGGCAGATTATGCGGAGCCTGGGCAATGTCGGTTTGTTGTGATGTGCATGAGGTGCGCATGTAATGTGGCATTTTTTCTTTCATTTTGGATTTTTTTTCTGATTCCTGCCGCTTATCTTCTTTGTGTTTGTAGCTTTTATTCATTGCTTTTGAATGTTTTTTCGTTTCTCCTGCTGCGCACTTAATTCGCCAGCCAGTTTGCGCTTTTTTTTTATAATGCGATCTCGGTTTTTTTGATTTTGGCGATCTATTTTTCTCTATTTTTAGTTAGGTATATTTTGTCTTAGTCTCTATTTTTGAACTAATTACCTATTTTGCTGTTACAACTTGATTCAGCCTGGATGATTATGCGACCGTCGATTGTACGCCTTATTTTTCAAAACGTTTTGACTCCTTTTCAACCAGCCTTATCCATGCCTGTAGGATTGGTCTTACGGATGGAAGACCGGTTTAGCATCTCGCAAATGACCGAGGGTGCCATGTATATTTAAACATTACTCCAAACCAGGTTGAAAAACCTTGGTGAACTGGATGTTGATATCTGCAGTATTTCCTCAAGGAGTCTTTGACAATTGTAGGGCAGTCCAGATTCGGCTGGTCGGAATACGGCCAAACCCACTTGTTCGAACCAATCCAGCAAACGCAAAGGTTTAGCTTGGTGTTGATGACAACACCTACCAGTGAAGGTTGTTCCGTGAAAGCACACGCAGAATTGTGTTTGGTCACGGAAGTGAATTTCACCGCAGCAAGCACTGATTGCCGTTAGTAAGTTGGCCTTGAGTGGAAGCCGCCCGGGGGAACGCCACTGGTTTTTCGAGATGATCTTAACGCCTAAGGTTGTGTTTAGCTGCAGACGAACTGGATGGCCATTGATGAGGACGGTTACATACATCGCTGTTGCTGTAGAGTGTATTCGGAGTTGGCCCGTAGGCTAATGGATGGGGCTGACTGGTTTGGCTTTAACCTTTCCTTTGTCTGGAAGTGGGGTAGCCGTCCACTCCTGTTAGACAGGACGATTGGCAGAATCCGCCCTTGTGGTCTATGGCTTTGTATTGCTGGCAGAAATTGACATAACGCCAGGCCCCACAGTGCCAGCAGGCGGAAGGAGGAGGGTGTCCCCTGTTCTCTTTCGACGAATCGTGTCGAATGGTTCTCGGTCAGACTTCGGCTGACGAGGGCTAGGAGGGCCTAGAAGTGGCAGGTGGTTTGTGGAAACGCTGGACCGCATTAACTTCTGTAGCACTGCGGCCTCCAGCTTGGACCATCGTGGAGTCATGCAGCACGCTGCTCCAGTGTAGGTATTGATCCGGTGTTGCAGCCGCGTTCGTAGGCATTTGAAGACTGCAAATGAGAATGAAGTTTTTGAGCTGGTCATCAGTCATTAATTTGAAATGACTTTTCTTGCACTCTCGACTGACCACTGCAAGATGGTAAAGGATGTCGTCAAACTCTCCTATTGCGAGTTTGAGGCACCGGTACCGGGCACTGAACAAGGAGGCGCGTTCTCCAAACATCCGCTTGAGATTTTGAACTGTTTCTACAAAATTGAAGTTGACCGAGGACTTGGGGAGGATCGCGTATGTGTATCTCTTCAGTTCTGCTGGACTCAGCTTGCAAGTTAGGAGTTTGACCTTCCACACGTCGTCCTGGGACGCGAGGTCGACCCGGAACAGGTCTTCGTAACGCCGATACCAGGACTCGAACTTTATGCCATCCTCCGGATCATAGGAGAACTCCGAGATACTGAAGGTGAGGCTGTCAATTGACAGCGTACTGGCGGGAGCGGCCTGAGACGACTGGCGATCTGTAAGCATCGAAACTAGCCGATCGAGTAATTATTCCAACCCTTTGTCACTCATCTCACTGGCGTCACCAAATTTGTTAGGTTGTCCGTAACCAGGAAAAATTCACGCAGATACACGGTACCATATCCCTTCTCTTACTCTAGAACTGGCCTTCGCACGCTTATGTAAGACAAGACCAGAGCTTTAATCGCCTCAGCCAAAGAACTAGTAATCCGTCATAAAGTTAGCACTTATAAAAGTCAAAAGTGACCTTCACCTGATAGATGAAAGAAGATTAACACAGATTTTAGGGAAGCAGTGTAAATAATGACGAAATCGGCGATGAGCCACCTTGGGGAATCCTGGATCCCCAACACATAGATGTCCTATCATCGAGACCTAGATGCAAGGATAATGTAAGATAATCGTTTGCGCCAATGAGGAAGAGTTGAGGATCCGCGCGGCTGGCGACATGCTTGGTTAGGGTTAGAGGCTGAAGTGACCGGATTAAAGAGTGTAAATCAAGGCGATTCACAACACAATGTACCTGAATACAGTACGTAGATGTCGATGATATTTGTTTGCAACGATCCAAGTTTCTGCATTCTTATTGATGCTTCAGCAGTGTTTAAATTATAAATGTTTATCCAGGGCAATTAAGTCATGCAATCCAGGAGGACATGATTCGAACAAATGCATGGATTCATAGTTATGGGTGCTATATTGAAGGCCAATCAATTCCACAGTTTGACGCAGTAAAAAAATAATTTGTGAATTTGAATAAATCATTACAGTATGTTTTAAATTTAATAATACATATCTTTTGCATGACTAGGAAAGCCGTTCAAGCACATATTCATATATTTGCAGAGACGAGGAATGACTTTTTCATATGAAACCTATGGACCAATCAAGATTTCAAACTTTTGATGTCAGCGAATTCCAGTCTGAACACAATGGCACACATTTTTATAAAACTGGAAGACTTCATTGATAATCGGTATTTAGGTTTTTTTCCAGAATAACTTTCACGGGCTTCTTCTTTGTCAGCTGATCATTATGTACCTAACATGTTTGACCAGCTTCTGTTGAATATGAAATTTCTTGCCTTTAATAGGTATTTGTGGTGAAAATAACTCTTGTGAAAGTCTTTCAAATAAGTTTAAGAGAAAAAATATGCATACACTTTTAAGGTAATCTCGTGAATACCTAAAAAGCGTAACATCCATTTTGACTACTTTAGTAGTGAAAATTCCCTTGAAACCTGAACTTGAGTGCGCCAGTGCTCAAACAGACAAAACTTGCATTCATCACTGTGGAAGCCAGAGGCGCAGTGTTTATTACAATTTTGTATGGAGTGACGTGTCTTAAACTATTGAATTAATTAGTTATTCACCGACCAAATTTTACTTTAACACACCACGATCAGTCAATAAGCATGCTGGAGGTAGATGATATCATACTGTTAGGTGTTTGACATAATTATATGGATTTTTCTACGAGCCTTAAATCACATCTGAAATCGAAAAATTTCTGCATTCTTTTGTGGTTTTGATAGGATCGGACGCAATGAATCAAAATAACCAACGACAGGTTTACATGGACAAGATGACTTCTCATTATAGCCGAGTGCATCATGGCAGCTGCACATTCTGCGCTGTGTTTTAAACCTATTCCACCAAAGAAAAAAATGCTTTTAAAGCACGATGATTATTGGTTTTCTTTGTGTTGGAGTTGTATCGTATGAAACGGTAAGTTACTAGGTCAACCGTCTTAGAAATGAATTTGACCAGCCGTGCCTCGGACAAGTCAAAACTTGGAAGTTGGGTCCCGCCTCACGTGTTGACCGAACACAACCTCGGTTAGCGTATGAACACATGCCTTCCACTGCTTGTCCGCCGGCAACAAGAAAGGACTTCCTGTGGAAAATTGTACCGGCTGATAAAAATATATTTATTGTTACGAGGATGCCAAATGTAAAACCCTCTTGAACTTGGGATGGGAAATTCTGCAAACGCGGCATATTCACCAGACGTGACTCCATCCGACTACCATTTATTCCGGTCAATGAAGTACGCCTTAGTGGATAAAGAGCTCAAAACACTGGACAGTGTGCGTAAATTCATTGATGGCTATTGGTTTCTTTCGAGACAGCAAGGTCATAGAAAGTGATGGACAATATTTCCAGGAATAACTTCGTTGTGCTCCATTTCTTCACAAAAAGAAGAGGAAATCTGTAATGAATTGAACTTTGATATAAATTATCATGAGTGACTGAACTCCTCTGCTCTGCTAAGCAGTTTGCAGACAAGTGCTGCCATCGAAAATAATATCGATGACTTGGTCTTTATGAACTGAACAGTATATTTTCTGAATTCCTAGAACTAAAAAAACATGACTATATTTCCAATAATCTTATTAGTCTCATCTTCATTGAATCGTACATGTATAGGTCATTCTGTTATATGCAAATACATATTTTACATCAACTTTGTACTTCACTGCATATTGGGCATGAACTTAAGGACTGCAAATATGTCCATGGCAGAATCTGTTGAGAAACTGCTAGGGATCCAATATTCCGCACGACGATCAGCCTCTTGGAGCCGCTGTCAGCTTCATCTTGACCCATCAGGGCGAGGTCACAAATAACTTATGCTTGAAGGCACATTCTGACATATCACTGAGCGGTTGGTGTTGACAATAAAAGCTCTTTGGATGGAGCCTTGTCTTGTACTGGGCCGGTTAGATTTGAATTAGATAAGGGATTTAAGTACTGAATCTCTGAGGATGTGGCTCTGGTTACGGGCATGCGTAACACTAAAAAGACACGAAACGAATGGTTTTAGCAGGAGTAGTAAGTTTATGCTTGACATGTTTATATGTGCAACCAGTCGCAACTGTAAAAAAATTCAATCAAATTGTGGCAATACTCAATGTTCTTACTATGGTCGGTGACGAAAGGCTAATACGTTACACGAAAGCCTTATACTTGGCCTGCTGTAATACATGCTTAAAATTAGACTCATAATACGAAATGACAGGCTGCAAAATGACTTTACAGCCCGGCTCCTATGGCGCAATTCACGGCTACAAGGCCTGATTTTGTTTCAGTTAGTGCTAGAGAACACTTGACACTTCGTTGTCTTGAGTTCGAGTGTCTTGATTTGAAGAGACCAAACGGCCCTCCAAAAACTGAGATCTGCAATTGACTGATGTGTGAACTGCAAATAATTCCTGATTTCAACAGATTAGCAAGTTAGATGTGCAATCGATTTACCAAAAGAGCCAATCAAGGCCTCCAAAGACAGGCACTTGAACGCACACTTATGTAGGAACTCATTTGATCAAGTCAACCACTCTGTGGCCACAGAGATCTTGAGTGTTTCAACGACGCCTCGATCGCGTTCGGCATTGGCGTGAATTTTGGTTGTCAAGGCCATAAGAGCAAATGAGAACAGTGAAGGAAGCCAAACGGGTTTTGTTGTGTGAGATGTGTGAGTCATACTTGCGCTAACATCGCAACCTAGGCGTGAGGATAATCCAAGATCAATATCCGTGTGAATGAGGGGGGAGTTGAGGGTCTGCGGGGCTGGCGACATGCTTCGAAAAGGGGAGCCCTGTGTCGGAGGTGGAGCGACCGGATTAAGGGGTATGAATAAACACAATTCACAACAGTTTCTAGAGCTGTAGTGACAAACAGCAGATCCCTTCTTGTTGCGCTCATTGAAGTGACTTTTCTGTCGACAGAATTGTCAAAAAAGCTATCTAATTTTCTTAAAAGCAGTTACCAGTGGCATAGACAAATACAACTACTCAGAGAAGCCACATGCGGCCTTCGACACGTTGCGCCGCCGTTACAACTTAGCGGATTAAAGCAAAGCAGATCGAGTTTTACCGAGAACCTAGATAAAAGAACATTTTGTGGTTGAATAAAGAGATGGCACGGCTGCACATTTTAGGGACAGAGAGGACGCAATAGCGGAATCCACAGCATCAAGATTGATTTGTAGACGGTATAACTAAATGTAAAGTCACTACAGCGGCATTGTTGAGACTGCATCTTTTCACATGTCTTACCCTAAAATACGATGAGGTTGTTTGCTTATCCCAGCCATGAAAATAAAAACGATGGCGAGGTGTAACTACTGAGAACTTACAAGGCGGTCATTTCACCAATCTGTATTTGGGCTGTCTGCAAGCTACGCTGAGAATATCTGGCCAATTGTGAACGCAACAAAGGACAATAACCTCATCAGCGATTGCGTACCTGTCATTGCGACCAACTTTGGCGGTTTCTTCATACAGATCGGACGCATTTATTGATGAATATACACTATCTGGCATGCGTGCTCACGGAGTTGACCCATTGTTGTGACCGAGGACTCAAATTTGTAAGCCATAACAATGTGGTTTGAAGCTGCAGGCCGTGCTGTGGAGGCCGTGGTTGTGAAGAAAATAGATAGCGTTTGTTGACACGGTCTGAACAACTTCAGTCATTCTCGCGCCTAGAAAGATGCTCGTGAAACGTGGACATCAGCTTCTTACAGCCACAAACAGGGATAGATGAATTAACCATTGTAATTCGTTGATCCTGCATGGTGTTCGATCTGAAGGTTAAGGACACCGCATTTGGCCTAAATAAAAAGATAAATAGAGGCGATGATGTGTGGGAAATCGCGCTTAGTTGTCTGTTAAGCATCACCAGTGATGTCGATTATGCAGTCTGTATCACCTGGGTAACCAAAGAAGCCGTTTTTAGGCTACTGTTAAAGGTTTGATCTTTTTTGGAAACCAAGTTTGTGCACTTAAACACCAAGTATAAACGGCCATCGAAACCAATTCGTAAATCTGGAAGAGGTTAACTAATGCTAGAGATTTGAGATTTAACGGTTCCAAGCGGAACTTGATTTCCCCACTCAAGTGAACTGTCACCATCTGTGATTAAGACTGAAATTTACAAAAATTCAATGTTTTTCTCCTGCCAATACTTTAGCAAATTAGCTTGAAGAAGACGGCCTAATCAAGAA